TTCCTGCTGGCTTATACCCAACTTTCCTCACCAGGCTAAGCCCTGAGTTAGGGATGACGGTTCTTCTGGCCCCCGCCACGGGGCTCGGGGTCCCTTTGCCTCTCCTGCAGCACACTGACCCAGTTCATCATGCACCCACCCAGCTCCCGGGGCCCCCACAGGAAAGCTGGATCCATTTGCCTGCATCTCGTGCCAGCCCAGCGGTCACCAGACGGATTAACCCAAAGATGAATGTGAAACCACTTAGTGTAAGAGGGACCTGAAGGCCTGGGGGCACCACTGCAGGGGGCTGGCACTGGACAACTGCATATATGATGCAGCCCCCAGAGTCTGCAGCCAGTGTGCTGTCGGGATGTGTCTCCAGCATCAGACAGGGGCTGGGCAGCTACCAAAGTCACCCCTTATCCTGGAAGCCTGAAGCCTCTGGTCCAGCCCCCGAGTCTTGAGAACGACAGGTGGCAGCAGATCGGTAATGGGTGGAACACAGACTCTCTCATGCCAAGAGGGCGAGGACAAAGAGGCCAGCTCCCACGCCAGCAGAGCCATCCCCATGCTGGATGATCTGGAGGGTGTCTGTCCCTGGCAGGTGAACCTGAGGACAAACGTCCTTGCCCCTGTCCAGAACGGAGATCTTGGCCGGCTGTGCAGACCTGAGTCCCCATCACTGCCACTTCCTTTCCTAACCCCTTAGCACCGTGGGAAGCTGTGTCCCAACCTCCTGGAGTCCCTGCTCTAGGCCGTGCCCCATGCCCCGCATGGCTCTCACCCTCTCAGGGGTGGTTCCCGTCCAGCCCTGGCTTCAGCATTCAGCACCTCAGCACATATTCCATTAACCCCTGTGCTCCTAGGAAGTCTGTGTTAGGGTTCCAGGAAGGACTCCCACAAGGGAAGCCTCTCTAGGGATAATCCTCTTGGCCTTGCCCCCCACCTTCAGGCTGACGGGGGCTGGAACGTGTGATTGGAATCCTCAGCGGATCCCTCGGGGTTGGCACCCTGTGTGCCAGTGGCCCCAGTCAGCCCCTCCCCGAGCCTAGGCACCCTCTATAACTCCTCCGAGATCCCTCCTCCTTCCTGCCCCTCCTGCCAACACTCCCCAGGGAAGTCCTGCAGGGTGCCCTGGGCAGGCGTGCTGGCCAATGGGCACTGGTTCCTAGGGAGCCCATCCAAGAGCAGGACCTGGCTGGCTTCCCTCCTGCCTTAGCCACAGCTACTACGAGCCCGAGTCTTCTGGGTCCTTAATCCTACATGTCAGCTCCTTGCAACGCAAGTACCCACCCTGTTCCTGCCTGACCCAGTCTGCTGGGACCTGTCCTTGTTCCTTGTGTCCTCTTGAGCCACCTGCTGATGGGGACTGGCATCCTGGAACCATGGAAGGCAGCTCCAGGCCACAGTGGGAGGAGGAAGACGGAGCATGTGAGGGAGCCTCGGCCACACCTTGAGCCGGTTCCAGATTTCTCACGGCCACCCCCAGATGTCGGCAGCCACCGGTCTAGGCGACTGGCACCTGCCAGGACCCTCTTGCCAGCAGTGGCCTCGGTTCTGCTTCTTTCTGCTTCCGATGCTCCTGTCCATCCCCTGCTCCCTGTTTTGCTCAGCCTCCCACCCTCCTGGCCATCCTCTCTTCCTACCTCCACTGTCCCTGACACCCCACCTGTGCCATCTCAGGCTTCTTCTGGGGGCACCCTGGGGGCATATGCCGGGCCCATAAAACAGAGACTTTGCCCCACTATGTCCTGTGAGGTAGGGTAGGCAGATGACAGAATTGGGAAGTGGGAAGGGACTTGCTCAAGGGCCCCCGGGTGACAGGCAGCCCTGTGTGGCTTTCTATCATGTTCTGCTGCCCAGTGTTCACGCTTCCATTCAGCCAGCCCTGAGCCAACCAACACGCCCCGCGGCCTCTTGTCTCTGCACCCTCCAGCGTTAAAGAGTCCTGGGGCTGCGGGCTGGAGAAGCAGGGCGAGGAGAAGGCCGCCCACGAGGTGCTGTGGGCGGAGTACAGGAAGCTGGGGCCCCTCTCCTTCGCCGAGGTCAACGTCCTGCTCTGCTTCTTCCTGCTGGTCGGCCTGTGGTTCTCCCGGGACCCCGGCTTCATGCCCGGCTGGCTGTCCGTCGCCTGGGTGGAGGGCAAGACAAAGTAAGTGGTTCCTCCCACAGCGCCCCCCCGTGGCTCTCTTCCTTTTCTGCCGTCCAGTTCTGGAGCACTCTGTTGGTTTCTGGACTCATTTTTGTCTCACCAGTCTTCCTGACAAGCTCACAGATGTGTTCTTGTGGCCCCTCTTGCCCCAACAGGCTGGCAGGGTAGCCAGGCTGTGATGGAGAGAGGTCGGTTGGGCTGGGACTGGGGCTCTCAGCGCTCTGGTTTCCAAGGCTCTGTTCTGCCATCTTTCCTTTGTCATCTTTCTTCAGGTCCGGGCGAGTCCCTCTGAAGACACACATCCTGGGGTCCAGAAGCTTCTGTAGACAGAGACTTGGCAAAAGGGGGGATATGATGTTTCTCTCCTGGCTAAGATGTTATGTGGTCAGAATAGAAGAAAGGTTGAGAAACATGCATATCCTAGAAAGGGCAGGATGTGTGGACAGGGAGATTGCTGCCTGTTACTGCTCATTCCATTTTGAAGGTCTGCTTGGGGTAGCCCCAAAGTCCTTGTGGCCGCCCTGGTAAACCCAGAATCCCAGAGAATCTGGTTGGGAAGAGCCCATGAAGTTCACCTATGGAGCAACACAGACAGAGAGGGAAGTGAGCCGCTCAGAGCCACTCAAAGTTGGTGGCAGAGCTAGGTCAAGAACGTGGGAGTTTCGGTTTCCAGCCAGGATTCAGTCTACCTCACCCGCTCCGGATCTTGGCCTTTGGGGTTCCAGTTTTCTTACTCAGATGAGCCTGTTTCCTCACGTGGGAGCATTCAGACACAGGGCAGGCTAGTTGCGTGACTGTCGTGTAGCCAAGATGGGCTAATCCCATGTGCTCTTCCCTGCCCAGGTATGCCTCCGATGCCACAGTGGCCATCTTTGTGGCCATCTTGCTATTCATCGTGCCTTCGCAGAAGCCCAAGTTCAACTTCTGCAGCCAGACTGAGGAAGGTAAGGCTCCTGTCCTGGCCTCCCATTCATCAGGGTTGGGGCCCCGGCAGCAAAGGATCTCCATGGTGTTCCCTGGGCCCGGGAGGGAGAACATCTCACCCTGCTGAAAAGGACTGGCTAGATTACAGAGTCTGGGCACAGCGTATTTCCCAAGCCTTCTCTGAATATTGTTTAGTGCAAAATCTCCTCTTTTGCTTTTTAAACATTTGAAATCTTATTTATTTTACAACAGGGACAGAAAGAGATTTCACATTTCCCATAATGCCATCAGTATTTTGGGGGTTTCTTGCTCCCTCCCAGTCTTTGTTAATATGCATATATATTATATGGCTATAATCAAAACACACATAATTTCAATCCTGTTTCTTTACTGGTTTTTGTTTTCATGTTTTTGCTTGTGGTTATGCTAGAAACATTTCCTGCTTATTGCCACAGTCTTCAAATTTATTTTCTCTAATAATGGCATTATATTGTATCGGGGGCTGTAGCCATTCCCCTGTCATGGAGCATTCTGGCTGTTTTGAATTCTTCATTATTATAAATTAATGTTTTCGTGAATACAGCTTTTTCTTTGAGGGTGTTTCTTCTTTAGGATAAATTTCTAGCAATGATCGCAGCTGCGGTAAAAGAGTATATATGTCTTCAAGGCTTTTAAAATGTATTGGTAAATTGCTTTTCAACAAGACTGCACCAATTTATAACACTAAGAGGAGTGTATAACAGCTTTACCATATAATGTCTTTACCAGCAGTGGGTGTTGTAGTGATTACCGTAAATTTTAGCTAATTTACAGATATGAGACGGCACTCATTGTCCTTGCAGGCTTTTATTCCCCTGCATTAGATCTGTTTTATCTCTTTTGCTTGCTAAGGCTGCTCTGGGCTATGTATGGGTTTTTGTTTTGTTTTTTTTCCTGGCCACGATAAGTGGCTTGTGGGATCTTAGTTCTCCAACCAGGGACTGAACCTGGGCCCTCAGCAGTGAAAGCACGGAGTCCTAACCACTGGACTGCCAGGGAATTCCCAATGTATGTGTGTGTGTTTTTATCATCTCTTCTCAGAAAGGAAAACACCATTTTATCCACCTCCGCTGCTGAATTGGAAGGTGGCCCAGGAGAAAGTACCCTGGGGCATCGTGCTGCTCCTGGGGGGTGGCTTTGCTCTGGCTAAAGGATGTGAGGTAACTTCTCCACTGTGGGCTGCCTAGGGCCCCTTCCTTCACCAAGAGGGCAGCTGAGAACTGCTGCACCCCTCCTTCTCGGTACCCCAGGCCTGTGCCTGTGTGTTTCTGTGCCTGTCTTCTCCACGTAACTGTTCATTTCTTGAAGACAGGGCCTCTGCCTTGTCATCTAGGTACCCTGCACCATGAATAGTGCCTGGAATAGAGAAAGTACTCTCTGAGTGATTTTCAGAAATGAGTGAATGAGTGACCCTGGTTAGCCAAAAGGGATGGGGGATGCTGGGAGGCCTCCTGTGGGGTTTGGTAATAACAATCTCTGCTTTGATTTATTCTAGGCAGATCTTTCTTTCAAGTCTTTGTGAATATTTTCACCACTACCTTTGGTTCCTCTTC